TATAGTATCTTGAAGTCTTGCAGTTGTATGGTTGAGTTGGGATTTTATTTTATTAATTATGGGATCCCAAGCAGACGGTAACACCTAGCCATCTTCTCTATTGAAACTAGGATGTTTCTTGATTTCAATAGCCTTGCGAATCATCCTTAGAAGGAATTGGTGTTCTTTAGTGAGGATTTGTGGTGTATCAAATCTAATATAGTGACGGGGGCGATCCTGTACGTGTTCACAGACTGCTCAAATAGCTCCTACAATTTTAACCTGATTAATGTGTACGTTTTCCATGTTGCTATTAAATTCGAAACTGTTTCAAGAGATGGGATCCATAGTTCGCTGATTCATATCCGGCTCGACGGACCAAAATTATTTGAGTATAGGACTAGTGTTTAGTAATAATTTAAAGTTTATGTTAAAATCATTAATTAAACGAGTAAAAAATATAAGATTAAAAGATGTTAAATAATGTTAATTGTTAATGTTATATATTATATATAATGTTTTATATAACATGCAGCGACAATGGTGACTTTAATTTAACACTCATATACGTTTTCACATTTTCGTTTCATGAAGAAATTTTATTTCCATTAAATTTTATTATTTACGGAATATTTAAAATTTTAAAAAATAGCATCTTAGAGCAACCTGTACTTAGAGAACTGTCGCGCAGCGGTCATTTGCCGGGGTCACGGATCATAACCTATCATCATTAAAATTAAAACGAATAAGCAATACTATTGAAGGAAAGAAACATCCCTTTGTCGGCGAGCGGGCAGCGCAGGCTACGCGCGCCCTCCCACCCCGCTGCACCGAAATCGATTTCTTTTTCTTTTTCTTTTTGCTTTAATAGTGCTAAAGAAACAAAACAATAAATTAAAAGAAAAATTGCAAATAGCCGAAAATGAGATAGAAAATTTGTAATTCGAAAATTCAAACCTAAAAAATACTGTCAAAACACGAAAAAAAAATATTTGGAAAAAATTTGTAATTCTAGCTCAAAGAAAATTACAATAAGAGAAAACAGTAAAAGTATAAGTGGTACTATCCTGGACTTTATGCAGGATGAAAAAGAGGAAACCAACACTCATTTGGTTCAAGAAGTATATACAGCGCCATCTAAAATTAACGAAACGAACTTTGTCGAAAATGTCAATGATTCAAGCACCCCGAGTCATCGAAACGTAAACACATCTTTCAACTTTTTGCTAAATGTCACTTGCAGTGAAGCAAAGAAGAAAAATATTCATATTATTGGCGATGAACAAGTACAAGGCCTAGCAGAAGAAATGAAACACTAGCGGTCCAGAAAATGGAACGATATCTATAACGTTTCTGGAATGGTGAAACCATTCGCGCTAAGCTCACAGGTCCAAAAAGTTTGCGAAAATTTGCACGAATTTTTATCTCAAGATGACGTATTAATTTTATCGGTAGGGTCTAATGAAAAAAGAATCTTGGGTTCAAAAGTTGTATTTCAAATACTGTATCCGTCAATAATAATAATAATACCCATTTACCTAAAAAGGGTACAATACCGTTTTACTTTCACAGCATAAAAAACGTAAAAGACGTTGTTATAAAATCACCTACTAAGAACGTACCGGATTTTTTCGTGCCTAATATAAATATAAATAAATTTGTTATTTTACATCAAAATATTCAGGGCCTACTATTTAAAAAGGAACTTATCGAGATAACATTATAGGAACTTGAATGTGATTTGAACCTATGCAAAATTCATAAAGAACAATATAAATTGTTTTACACAAGCTAAAGACGTCTACAAACGAAGCACCAGAAATAGGAATAGGTTGGTTTTCGCTATAATTCCTAAGAGTGCGAGATTACATAAAAATTGCTTTTGGGTGTGTATGACAATATTATATAATAAGATACCACAAGTAATTCGAGACCTACCTTTCATTTAATTTAAAAGAGATTTATACAACTTTCTCAGTGAAAAGTCTTTTTACACTGCACAGGAATATTTGAACTACGATAGTTAATAGGAACTTGACAAACAAATTTAATGGACCAATTATGAAATGTTTATTAATTGTTTCCTATTTATTGACTACCTGTTTTGTTTTATTATAATCACTACTCTTAAATATTATTATCTCGATATTATATAGTTTTAAAGATTTGCATGCTATTAATAATGGCTGATTATGCGGATGTTTAATTACTGTGACCATCTTCAATGTACCTTAACCAAATGCAAATAAATATTTCATTTCATTTCAAAAACCTAGCCAAATCCGTGTCCGTGAGAAACTTCTTCACAGTAGTACGCATAATTACGTCGACTAATATTGTTGTGAACTTTTGCGAGAAAAAGACGCTTATCTATTGTTTTATTTATTAATTTTTTTGTGATTAGGATAGTAATTAGATTATGATCCTGCGATAAAGGCGCGTTGTTTTGTTTTTGTTTTCTAATTTAGTAGGTACGTTTACATCTCTTGCAATACGGACGCTTTTATTTGTGTTTATTAGTGCTTGTGTAAACTTGTGATCGTAATGGCAAGTACGCATCCGAACTACACAGCAGCTGAATATGCGGACATGATTCTAATTTACTAGACTGACGAAAGCAACTTCACCAGAAACGGCATGTGGAACCAGCACAATCTGCACAATTGAGCATATAAAATCCGAGCGTTTGGCGGGGGTCAGCCCATCAGTACAGATTTTCGTTAAATTTTTGGGCAACTATTCAAGGTAACAACATTATCGGACCCATATTCATTGATGGGGCTTTGAACGGAGAAAGGTTTGTTAATCTACTAAATGATAGGGTGTCAGAATACACAAACAACCTAAACGTCCATCGATACCAACGAATGTGGTACTAATTTGTAATTATGATATTATATTTACTAATATGTATTTAAAATATGGTTTATAGATACTTTCTATCATTATGTAATTAAGAAAAAAAAATTTACTATAGCTATCCTTTAAGTATTATTGTGAGACTGCATTCCACAGACAAACTGTGTAAACAGTTTTGTGGGAATATGTTTTACTGTACGGTTATGTCGATTTGTTTAGTAAATAAAGAAAAAAATTAGATGTAGCGCCAGCACACTCTATAACAACAGCCAGGCAGTGGCTAAATAGTACGTTTGGAGCACAATGGATTGGTAGATTTGGACCTCGTAGGTGGCCGGCAAGATAGCCAGACCTCACGTCTACTCGATTATTTTTCTGGGAGTGCATTAAAGTGTGTTGTGAGTGCATTAAGTTGTGTACGCGGAGAACGTGGAGTCGGTGGAATAATAACGCCATTCAATAATAAATGCCTTTGAGAAATAGAGAGAAATGTTATATTTGGAGCATAAGTAACAATTTATTTTCAAATGTGCGAGAAAGCATGAAACGCCGTTTAGCTTTTTGTATCCGCCAACACGGTGGTGTCATTGAAAATAAGAAAATTTAAAATAAAGACAAATAAAAATGGTGACTAGTGACCGTTGTAACTAATAGTAACAAGAGAGGGTGATATAATAAGTATTTGACTAGGCACCTCCTCTGTAAGTACTGTCTGGCGCCGCTCGTTTTCTTTGATAATAAGCCGTCAAAGAATCGGACCGAATAAGACGTATTGTGGGATTGCCAACGCGCCAAGCGACACGTTGCCACTTCGATTTAACGTAAGGCAGGTTGGTAAGTAATTTCATAAATTAATTATTGCAAGGGTGGTCCCAATTTTAGTTACTTTTTTTTATTAAGTTTGTTTGAAAATTTTTTTTACGAGTTATTTTAATCTATAAAAATGAATATGATTAATGGGCACTAGCGCTAACCGTGTGTTAAATTAGAGTCACTATTGTAGCGACCACCTTGTATTAATGAGTTCGCATCAGTAGCGTTTATGGTGAATACCTGAACTAAATTTTTGTAATTGTCAAACTATAGCGATTGCTTTGCGTAAAATGTTAACGGCAGCAGAAATGTACGGTTGGTCCAAACATTGCCAACGCCATTGCACGTTGGCAATGTTTCTACACGCTACACGGTGAACTAATTGCTTCGCAAACATTTAAAAAATTAATCAGCAAAATTGCATTCGTCCACTTAATATAGTAAATTTGTTTATGCTCCGAAGTATATGACGCAAAACTATCATCATTAGTGTTATTAAAAACTACTACTCGACATGATTATTAAATCATTTATTGTTATTTGAATAACAGAATATACTATTCTAGGGCAATTTTCTTTGAATTTCGTAGAAATTATCAAACGTTTTATAATTAAATTAAATTAAAAAAAAACTATAATAAATGAAAAAAAACCTAAATCCTATTAACTTAATTATCATACAGTCCTAATTCTCGTGGTATCGTGCCAAGAACGCTAGCTGCGTTTCCCCTCTGAATTGCTGCTATACTTAGCCTTTGAGCGAGAAAAGAACCAAAATTAAATTAAAATTAAATCTTAATAAAAAAGAATAAGTATAAAGTTATTATGAGTTATCTAAACATATAGTGGCGGTGTAAGAGAATCGACTACCGCAAGACATTCCATGTGTGTCTTACGTTACATGAAAGAGGTTGCACTACCATATACATTCTAGTGCAAATGTGCCAAGGTATCTCTCTTGAAACCACTGTGTGTATATATATATATATAGAATGTTACTATTTTGTTTGGGATTAGATAAGTTTGGTTTGAAAAAAAATTTGACTTCGAAGCCGTTCGACTAATCAACATGTAGGTTGCCAAATACGTATACGATGTATTTTTTCATGGAGAAGATTTAAAAGCTTTCCACTTGAATGTACCACTAGGTGGCACTAAAGCACATCAATTTTAAGCAGTTCAACCAATTGGCAATAGAATTGGCATGCACAGGCAAGGAACCTGCCGGGATTTGCCAGATAATTGTTTATTTAATATATTTTGTAATATTTATTTCTGTAATGAAGAAAAGGTGTAAATAATATGCACTGATATTAGCATTTTTATTACAACGAACAAGGGTAATCGCTTCAACACGACACACTTTGTGCACGTTTACTTTTAACAAGCAGCGTCTGTATGATACCCACGGACAGTCCTTTCGTTTCCGGCAAGAAGTACGCGCAGAAGATCGCAGTTGCAAAACAAACACCTCCGAAGATATAAAAAACTGGGGCAAGTCCAACGCTGGATACAAGCGGGGTAAATATATAAAGGATAATAAAGTTGCAGATCCAACCCCATTCCGCAGAGAGCATAGAAACTAAACTTTTAATCTGTTAAAAGAAAACACTTAAATTAAAATGTTTATAAACATGATTATCATCCGGTTACGTGGTAGAGCCATTCACACTTTTGTGACTGCAGCACGAATGGTTCTGATCGACAGTGAAGTATCATGTCTGCATAATAATACTTTTTTTTACATATCGGACTCACACCGGTTCAAACCCAATGGTGTTCTACCTTCACCGTATATTGGCAGGGTCACGGGAAAGCTTTTGTACATGTTTCATGGCACCCCACCTCAGGAAATGACTACTCTTCCCCTTCTCCTTCTTACATAAGGCGCACCAAAACACTCGGTGCGCCTACCTCCGCGGCCTCTAAACACACCTGTGCAGCCGGCCTTCTCTGGTCTGGTAGGTGAACACCATGAGGCCAGAAATATCGAGCAATCGGAAGCATCAGCCTTGCTGATCACAGTGGCGGATCTGGTCTATGGCTCCACCGCCAACCAAGTTTCGGTTGCGGCGCCTCGCAAGTCGCAACACTGATTTTCATTTCCCTCCGCGGCTCCACCACCACCGCATCAACCGTGTGGCCCCGCCAGAGTGGTGGAGTATCCACACGACAACACTTCACTAACTATTGTAACCAGACATTGTATTGGAAATTTAACAATATAATTGGTCCGTGTTGTGCAGAAATATTTTAACCCACAAAAACATAAAGTCATTCAGATTTGTAAGATAAATGCATATTTTTTGTGGCAGAAGCCCTTTTATATCATGTTGTGTATATCATATAAAAAAAAATTCGTATAACTTGCTATTGTTCAGAAGGCTTTTATTTTATTTTTTTTTTATTTCAAACAAAATCTTATATACTATATACTTGGATATGAACTGAAATAGAGCCACCAGATTACTATTTTGTCCAGTTTGTGGGTTGGATCGTTTCTGCACAACGCATTCCCAATTACAGGGTATATGATAAGCATATCGATTAAGAATCAAAATTTATACGCGTTGTCATCCTTCAGGTATAAGATTTAATGTCTTGTTATTATTAAAGATGGCTGATACCATCTTCGCAGTTCTTTCTCGCAGTTCAAGCCGACCCATTTGTGTTGCAGCCACAATACAATACACGCTGCGTGGTATATAGTTTCATGCTATAGTTTATCCATTTCATTACCATTTCAGCTTATCAAAAGTGTACTGCTTAACATAGGTGTACTTCATAGATATCCTCATAGGGGAAAAATAGCCCTAGCAGTCACGCTCGGCAAGCGGGTTGGCAATCGCAGTTTTTTATTATTTTGAGTTGATATCGGTAAGATACTACTGTCATCTTCTGTTTTATATTCCTTTGTTGCTTCATACGACATCCACAGGTCAGCATGGGGTAGCGGATTTTCTTAGGTCGCCACTACCCGGCACTCTATAAACCATTCAGTTTTAAGTACCTCTGGCAAGAATACTTCAGCAACAAACACGAAAGGTACCGTGCCTGCACCAAGCGTGTACGTGATGGCGAACAGGTAAATGAAGACACCCGTGATCCAGTGCGGGCCCCAGGGCAAATGAATCTGCGTGCCCAGCGCCACGCTACAAATCCCCGCTCCAATGGACGAATAGATCATGAGAGGCTAAAATAAATACATAAATATTTCATTTATAATTTTTTATATAATTTTACGATAAAAATACACTTTTTAAGCCTTTTAATATACTATCGATTGACTACATCTCACCTGGTGGTAAGTGGAGATGAAGCCCTAGTTGCTAAGTCATATTGTCTTAGAATAAAAATTATAATAGGATAAAAACTTGGACGCTGGCAAATTTATCCACTCCATTGCTGTACACATTACGAAAGACATAGGAAACCGATTGGTTCGAATGCGTGGAATATCAACAATAAAGGATGACCCGCTTACCGCCTAGATGACCGATGGTGGAAAAGGAAGGGAGGTTATACACCACTATTTTGTAAGTACCATAAAAAATTAAGTACAGTTACAACGGATGTTACTGGTGATGTTGGAACTGTTAGAATGTTTTATTATTTATCTGTCACAATGTTACCGATGTTTGTTTTTATCCAAAAACTAGACTAACTTTATTGGCACGTACGCATTCCATTCATAAGACGCTCCCGTTCCATCTCCCACCATTAATACAGTACCAATGTCACTACCTCTTTCTCACTCGTATTCTCTCGCTTACTTCACTGGCTTCATACTTTTACGGGCTTAGAACCGGCAAAATTATTTTCTAATGAAACAGGTAGTAAGAAATTAACAAAATTAAATGATTTACAGAGCAGATACGGAAATTAATTTTGGCGTATTTAAAAAGTAGCAATCAGCTATTTATAACAATTAAATTATTTACAGTTAAATTAGTTACTTACATCTACGCACGCACTTATTTACACTGTCACTTACGTGCGAGTATTTAAGTACATTTGCACGTTTTATTAAATTGTTTTTAGCGACAGTAAAACGCCTTGCCGTTTTACTTTATCAAAAGCGTCTATTATGCGCCGTTTCAGGTCCTGCATGTTGGGAGGCTCACTCACATACACTAGTCTTTTTATTTCGCTGCATAAAATATCTATAAGCCATCGTGAAAACCAGAACATAAAATGAAAATAGTTACATTAATTTGCAAACGCGGGCTTCGTAATGCAAATTATTAACTAAACTAAAAATGCTAAAAATAGCATGGCGCGCCAGGGCGGTTCCTGCCGAGCCGAGCCGATTTATGAATGGATCGAATTGGAGTCAAAATTCATAATTGAGTGGCTGTTATTATCATTTTTTTTGAGATATTTTTTTTATCAATTATTTTCAGTTTTTTCTACCTAAATGTGATCAGTAACAGACACTGAGAGCACTTATTTTTGGTTATTACAAAATATGGGTGTATAAAAAATAGAGAATATTCTTAGTCTTTTGTCGGCAAACTTACTTAGCATGAATTTTTGTGAGTTTGCTTAGAGTTGACATTCTTAATTTTTAACTAATAACATAACTAAACATTTTGATATAGTATGGTTTCTGAACCAATGAAAATCTTCTTATACAAACATGAACCAATCGCGTATCAGGATTTGTTGTTCTATAAACTGATCATCGGTCAAAACTTTCGAAATTATCGCCTTGCTTCCTCTTTTTCATCAGATTGGTGCAGTCCACTGCTAGGCAGTCGCTTTACTTGCCTTTAGAAGCGGATTAGCAATTGTAGTACCGGTGAGCTGGTTGGCCACCACACCATTTCATTTCATATACTCGCTTACGTGAAATTTAGTGGTGGGCACTCTTACGTCACCACCACAATATTGAATATTAAGTTTTAAGAATTTGATTTTTGTACGTAGAGAGGTAGATTTAAGCTACACATATTTTTAAATGAAGTAAAGGTAACAAACAAGCACACAGTCCACCTGATGGTAAATAAATGCTGCGGGTTACAGATGTCTACATATACCCTCTGTAGTATCGTTTAGCCCCCATGACAGTATATATTCATATATATAAGTGTCAAGTGTAGAATAAAATAGTCTTATTAAAGTCCTAGTAAAAGTTACACGTCCCGTCATAGACACCTTCCAACATTTCATAGCGACCCTGCCAGGATTAAGAATTAAGAATTAAAATGCATATATGTCTTCTACGTGGTAGATCCATGCTTCAGCTATATTTGTAGTATGGTTGTACCACGAATGGGTCGGCTCAAGTGGGGAAAGACCACACACTCACAGAATACCAGCTTAAAATGGCAGCTTGACACTGCTGTGTTTCGTATGGTGAGTGTAGAGAACCGGAGACCCATATTACTCGAAAACAGGCATTCTATCTAAGTCCTCACGGGTGACGATGCGTATGCATTTTGATTCTTTGGGTGTTGATTTCTCTGATGTCTATGGGTTACAGCAACCACTTATCATCAGGTGGACTGTGTGCTCCTTTGTCACCCTATCCTATAAAAAAAATTTTGTCACCCCGGATGAGTAACACGAAATGCCTCACTTCTCGTAAAAAGAGTCTCTACACTCACCATACGAAACACAGCAGCATTATGCTATTTCACGCTGGTATTCTGTGAGATCGTTATCCTTCCCTGGTCAAGCTAGCCCAATCATGATACAACTATATAATAGCTGCAGCATGGCTCTTTTAAATTTCTAAAATAGTTTCTAAAACTTCTTACCCGTCGTCCAGCTATGTCGATTAAGTATGCAGCAACACAACTAGACACCACAGTCACGACAGCTAGCAGTACACAGGATAGCGTTGAAGAAATATTCGGAAGTACGTCCACGAATATTGGTTCTGCGTAGACCTGTATTGCCACTAAGCCTTGGAACATCGCTGCCGAGTACAGAGTAAGAGCTACAAACAACGCTTGACGTGTGGAACGTGACTTTTCTGGAAAAAACATTTTTTTTTTTTATAAAATTCAAGTGACAAACGAACTTCTAATTGATAGAAAGTGAAAATATCTGTAATCAACTTCAAACATTAAATGTTACGGATGCGTTGTCCCCCTGAGGACTAAGAGCGAATGTCTCACAGCCTGTAATCATACTGACTCTCCTCAAACCAGAACACAGCAGTGAAGGCACTGGTGTTTGGCTGCAGAAATATATCTTCATTTATAATTATGCGCCATTATTGGTTATATCACTGGATTTAACTAGCTCGTGGAACACCACCTTGTGGTTGAAGTGTGCTACCATAAGTACAGCACACCGTATCTCAAACCGTTCTACACTACACTGCTACAGCTACTGTGTTTCGTATGATGAGCGTATAGAGCCGGAGATCCTTTTACTAGTAAAGAAGCATTTCACCTTAGCCCACAGAGTGAAATCTGTATTTCAATTCTTAATCTACACTATATAGGCCGCATCATTAATTTATAGTCAGGTGGACTGTGTGCTCGTATGTCACCCATAATTCTAAAAAATATATGTGTAGCTCAGATAATTCCGTCCGAAAATAGAACCTACGGCTCGCAGTACTCTGCAGCAAATGCACAACCACTAAACGTAGTAATTATATATTCTTTGAAAGCCATTTTGCTACCAACTAGTTACTCTCATTTAAAGTATCCACTAATAGAGGGAATATATTAAAAAGTAGCTTTAAAAAAAGTTAAAAAATTAAGTAGTCGGCGGGTGCTAAAAAACAAAGAAGCCCTGATATCAGAATATGAAATTATTATTATGATTTAGTTCTACGAGTTATAGTTTTTTTAAGGTAATTCTTTTACCCTTTTGCGTAGTCAAAGGAATATCACAATCTTAATAACGTCTAAATTAAAAATAATTCCCCGATTTGCTACCCTTAAAAGTGGAATTTTGTCACCAAATTTATATACAAATAAATAAATATATAAAGTATATAATAAAAAAGAATAATCATAATTGGTTCAAAATTTACGAAGATATTGCTTAACATACGAGTTACATACAAAAAAAAAACATACACTGAAGACACCTCTCTCTTTTAAGTCGCTTTAAAACATTCTAATATTAAAAAAAAAAAACAATACAATCTTCAAATCCTTTGGAGCAATAAAACATAATAAAACGTTGATACAATATGTATTTAATCAAATATAAAAAAGAAGCCAAAAAATTTTATTATTAAATTATTTTACTACTTAAGATAAGAACATTTGTGTAGCACTTTTGTGAATTTACGAACTTAAAAACTGGCAAATGTTGACGCAATAACTAAGTTTTCTTTTTGTAATTAAGGATTAAAAAAACCAAACGATATTTTCAAACAAGTAAGGTTAATATAACCTGTTGGTTTGGGGTTGCTGTGGCCAATATACAGATGTCCATTACGATGAAGTGCCTCGTTGTTAGTAAAAACGATCTTCAGTTTCTGGCCCTCATACGAAATATTGCAGCAGATGCAATGGTACTATCGTCGTCGTGTTCTATCTGAACGGTGTAGAGAGCCAGTATAATTACAGGTTTTGAAGCATCCCATCATAGTTTTCAAGGGCGACATCGCATCTGTAGCCTTCCTTGTTCGAAGTTGGTTGTAGGTATCTATGTGCTGTAGTAACAATGCGAGTTCTCTCGGGGACAATTATAAGGACACCATTTACAAGGCTAACGGTTTAGTTCATCACCTGAACTCCGAAGATGCAAAGCCACTGCAAGCGAGCCTTTACTTAGGCCTAAAGACTTACTGACTACACTTGCAATTCTTCTAAAACTCTAGGAATAATGGCTCCTTACTTCTTTAATATTTTTTATAGAAGATTTTCATTTACACTCCGCAAATGATCATGCGGCCTATCGAATTGCATGGGTACGCTTAAGTTAGTTTTTTTTTTATAGGTTAAGGGTGAAAAACGAGCACACAGTCCATCTGATGGTAAGTGGTCGCTGTGGCCCATAGACATCTACATCTATCTTCGATTAAGAGTCAAATAGCAGATGCATTGTCACCCGTGAGGACTAAGATGGAATGCTTCGTTTCCAGTAAAAAGGTTCTCCGGTTCTCTACACTCACCATACGAAACACAGCAGCGTTAAGCTGCTATTTTACGCTGGTATTCTGTGAGAGCGTGGTCCTTCCCCGGTCGAGCCGACCCATTCGTGCTACAACCATAATATAGATGCAGCATGGCTCTACCACGTAAGTTCTAAGATTTTGGATTTTGGAAAAAGAACAAGGTGGTGAATTGTCAACCATTACGAAGATGTGAATGGAATTTACGTTACTAGAATTTAGAACAAAATTAGCAATAATATAATTTTATGTGCTCGTTGTTTTGTAGGGAAAGCATCGAAACAATAAGTTTTTATTACTAGCTACTTACCTATTCCTGTCTAGGAAACAATCTGGTATCCCTTTTTATGTGTCTAGGGCCAGTAGCCACTTACCATATGGGGGACGGTTAGTTCGTTTGTTACCCTTCTGTTACAAAATTAACCTGATTTTATGGTGAGATATATTTTTTACTCTAGGAAAACTTTAAGGGAATATTCAATAACATAAATAAAACAAATATGTACCTAGTTACAAACAACATAATATAAACATGTTATTTACAAGTAGCCATAATTTTACAACAACATTTTGATCAAGAATTGTGTCGACTAAGATTTTGATGTAAGATTACTCAAAACATGTTACGAAGAGTAACGTTACAGAAGACGCTGATCCCACTGTATAATTGTTGTTGCTGGTCACCAAGGTGTCGTACTTTCAGTAAACTGACTTGTTTTGACCACACTCTATAAGCCGTTGCATTTGGAATTATAATCATTATAGTCCTTATCGTAATCATATTATTATGAATTAGTTTTAATTCATTATTGAAATTAAATAGTTAACAAATGTCATCGATACATATTTGTTTCTTTTAAAAAGCTTCAGCACCGTTCCCGAAACAAATGATTCAAAAAATAAAGTTATTCAAAAAAAATATTTTAAATACTAAAATTATCTGAATGTACTATGATTCTAAATTGTAGAAATATGTAAAACGGTTGTATTACTCTAGTTCTATGAATATCTAGTAAAAAATACAGTACTTTTGTTCATATTAATTCCAGTTTTTTAAATTGTAAAATCGAAACATTTTCTCATACGTAGGTCACTCAATAAGTTTTGAGATGCTCGAAATTTAAAAATGGAACGCACCTGTGTTATATGTTTCTAAAAAGAAAATTTATTTAAAAATAGAACTACATCAGCTAATTGCTCATTATTAAAAAAAAACAAGGTTCTATTCATTTTCCTGCAACGCTCTACGCGCTTTACATATAAAACAATGGATCTTAAGCTATGATATATTATTGTGATTTTAAATTTATTTTAACCAACAATTAAGTTTACAGCGGTTACATTTAGCATTAGGTGACTCAGCTCCATCACGCGCAATAATTTTTAGGTCAAACCACCTAAATATTATTGCGCGTGATAGAGCTGAATTCAAAAGTGGTAAAATTAATCTTAAAATGATCAAAGAACCGGGGCCCCACAAACAGCCATAACGGCAGAAATTGTATGGACAACTGAAATGTTGCTGCGAGAAGACCTACGAATCACTTATACGGACATCGAAAAGATCGTAGGCATTAGTTCGAGGAGCATTCATACCATCTTACAACAACATCTTGGAGTGAGGAAGCTTTGTCGTCGATGGATCCCTGGTTTCCTCTCCAAAAGCGAAAAAGAGACTCGTGTGGATCGGTGACATGAAATTCGTTTACGTTTTGAAAACGGGGCATCTAGGCGTGTTTCAGAAATCGTTACTGGTGAAGAGACATGGATCTATCAATATGATCCGGAAAATAATAGCCAATGATTGGTATGGGTCTACTCAGAAGGACATTTCTTGACAAATTTCTCGCAACGTGGGCAAAAAAATGGTGGCTAGTTTTTTCTCGCAGAGCGGATATTTGTCGACGTCTATGCTGGAAAATTGTAGGTCAGTTAACTCTGAATGGTATACTTTAGTTGCATTACCCAAAGCTTTTCAAGCTGTGCGGGAGAGAAGACCAAAGACCGGGCTTCGGGAAATTATGCTGCATCACGATAACGCTTCTTCACATACCTTTCTTAGAACAAAAGCATTTATTGAGGAATCTGGTGTTAAAACTCTAAGTCACCGTACAGCCCGGACTTAACTCCTTGTAATTTCTTTTTGTTCCTAAGAGTCAAAGAAAAAGTAAAAGGCAAGTTTTTTTAATCGCCGAAGACGCCGTGGCTGCCTACGAAAAAGCGATTTCCGACCTGTCAGATCAAGACTGGCAAAAGTGTTTTCTGAACTGGTTTAGGCGAATAGAACTTTGTATGGAGCATGATGAGAGTATTAAAAAAGATTTAAAATAAATATTAATAGTATCTAGAATACTTTTTGTATATATTAAAACTTATTCAGTGTCCTACGTATGAGATAAAAACAAATTAATTTCATATAATATGTGATAGATGATTGGTACTTTATACGCCCTTAATTTTTCCTGATAATTATATATTAGTGTTATATTCGTGATCAAGAATAACTATGATATATTTCTTTTTTTCCATCCGATTAGAATGTGGGTGTTTTCTCGGGAAGAGTGGATAGGCTTTTCCTAACCCTAGACACTTACCATCAGGTGGGGTATTGTTCGCGCAAAACACTTTCAAGGATTGACGCGAGAGGGCGCTCGGCGCGGTGCATTCATACCGGTTTGACTTTCGGTCGTGCGAAAAACGCCCAAGGGCAATGAGTCGTCTTTAATCGGTGCTGACGTGAGCACGCGGTCCATTCTGTTAGGGAACTCGGAATAATTAGGTGCGGCCCGTAAATATATGGTCTAGGATTTGTGACGCGCATTCCTGCTGGAGAGCTTCCCGGGACCGACTCAGAATATGTATAAGTGCATTCGACAATATTAGCTAGTGCGGCCTCTGATATTCTAGAAATAACTGTTGCAACGCGAAACGGTAGTGACCTTTAATAAACTGTAAACTCCGTGTGCGTTTTGTGTGTTAACCTTATAACCAGCGATAGTTAGTGGCTTCTGTAAGTTAGTAAATCGTACGATAGAGTTAATTGAATGTCAACGTGACGAAAGAAGAAAGTGACTGTGGACAACTTCGAAAGGCCCCCTCAAGTTGGAGCGATGTCGACGCTCGGGCTGCTGCCGACGGCCAAGGTCTAGGTTCAATCACCATCAGTCACACCCAGATACACACTACATCACCATTCTTTCCCTTGCACTACACAACCACATGCGACCTGACCGACTCCGGAGGGACCAGTCGCCTTGGATAGGTAAGTAAGCTTCATCCAAATTCCTTCCGGTCGACTAGCCGTAGTATAACGCTCCCCCATCTATTTTAATGTAATTAGGAATTTCCACGTGGCCACATTGAGGCCCGACCTACGTTTGCTCGGGAAGTCTTCTGCTCATGGGCCCCAGAGGATTGGATCCTTTAAGGGAGCAACCGTAGGCCGTAACAGGTATTATTCAACCACTGGCTTATAATAGTGAAAAAATTAACAATAATCCAAAGCAAGCGCATGTTAAATCAAAATCATACTCGCTACTTACTAAGAAACTTCCATTTTGATATTCCATTTGATTTCTCCTGTATTTTCTGTTGTTTTTCTGGTTGCAATTTCTCTTCCTCAGGAGACAAATCTGTAAATACAAAAATTATTGACAAGGCCTAAATTTAAAACCATTATTTGTTTTTTTATCGTCATTAGCCTGTAAGATCAAAGTTCGGCATAAACCACTTCTACGGTATGTACAATTGTCAAAATCGGTATGCTTGACTTGTTAGAAATATATAGAATACAACAGAAGAGACCCATTTAAATAAAAATACGGATTTTATCGCGTATATTAACTTATTTTATATGCCCGACGTTTCGAGCACTTTACAGCATCCATGGTCACGAGAGGGCCTGAGGTGTAGGACGTCCTAATGTCATAGTTAACCACGGCTACCTCCAGATTAATCCGTAAAATTTGTTTTATTTAAATGTGTAGTGTTCGCGTAAATATAAGAATTCAGACGAGATCCATCCCTAGTAGTGGATTTTAGCAGTATTGTGCTGCTATTTAAGCTGGTATTCTGTGAGGGCGTGGTCCTTCCTCTGTCAAGCCAATCCATTCCTTCTGCAACCAAATATAGCTGCAGCAAGACTCTACCACGTAGAAAATATTATTCGCAAGACCAAGTTTTGGTAGAGGTATAGGTGATGATATCGGGTTCTCGAAAAAAATCCAATTTAACTTTGAAAACCTTACCTTTATTTTTAAATGTTTTTTCTACTATGTAGATTATCTTATTGAATATAAATAAAACCGAGCGCGTTATCATTCTCAAGTTATCTTTTATCGCGCCGTCGTCATTGTATGTAATCTTGAGTAATAAAAAAATGCCTGCGTACTTATGATTTATTTAATTGTTATAAGATTAAATATTTGTGCTGTAAATAGTTGTGTGAGCTACGTCTATTTGTTCATTAAGGTAAAATTTATGCTCCGGGTAACGATTAATTAATGTATGTTGTGATTTCTTGTGTTTACGCGAACACTACACGTTTAGATATACCTAGTTATATGGATTTTATCGCGTATATTGACTTGTTTTTAAATTCCCGATGTATCGAGCACTTTACAGAGCACCCACGATCACTGGGCGGACCGAGTCGTATACCCGACCTTTCGAGCACTTTACAGCACCCTTGTTCACGGGGGGTGGGGGTGTGATGGGGGGGGGTTTGGACTGAGGTGTTCGACGTCTCTTCGATGTAAGAAATAAACATTTCGTTTGCCAATATAATTTTTTTTAATTGCAATACTATTTTGAAACTGAGCAGATATACTCTTTTTTGCCCTTTTAAATATTACAATATTAATGATAATGTCCTCCAGACCGAATCTTGGTCACGGTGACCAGTCTCAACTGACACTAGCTATGCGCAGATGCGCAGGACACGATTATAGTTTTTCTTTTTCTTTCGTTTAAGTATTGATTTGGTGTACAATAAAGAATTATCTATCTATCTATCTATTATAGAGCCTAAGTGAATGCGCAAGCATAGGCACACTCTATTCCCTTACTCTCATAGTCCGATTGGACAGTAAGCCGACACGTCCGTAAGAGATATGGCGAACTATAATATTATTAATATAACATACCATATAATATATTAGATTTTATTACAGCGTTTGATTTTTATCTTTATATGTGATAGTAAATGGTGATATACCTCTATATCGCGGCGTAAAAACGTCACTTACAGATCCATGTGGTGAAACGTGACTTATATAAAACTATTAATCAAAATAATATAGTATTTTCAAATTTTGAAATCGGTACTTAGGAATGTTTTTTTTTATAGGATAGGGTGACAAACCAGCACACAGTCCACCTGATAGTAAGTGTGACCCATAGACATCTACATCTATCCTTAATAAAGAATCAAAATGTAGCGTTGTCAACCATGAGGACTAAGATAGAATGCCTCTTTTTCAGTAAAAAGGGTCTCCGGTTCTTTACACTCATCATACGAAACACAGTAGCGTTAAGCTGCTATTTTACGCTGGTATTCTGTCAGAGCGTGGTCCTTACCAGTTTGAGCCGACCCATTCGTGCTACAACTATACTACTAATATAGCAGCAGCGTGGCTCTACCACGTGTGAAGTTATTTTATTGTTTTTATTTCTTTAAATTCGTATTTTACTTTTTAAAAAAGTGTTTTTACACTTTTTGGTTGCCTAAGGAAAAATCACAATCTCAAAGCCGTTTAGATATTTATTTCCCCGAAATATTATAAAATCTTACTAGGGAGACATGTGCTCCATTAAACGAAAATACAATATGAGTATGCGCGTTGGCTTAAAGTGGTTAAAACAGACTAAATTATTTTTCATCATCATCGTCGTCATTGTTGCCTATTAAAAGACAAGGTACAAAGCACGATCCACGACGATCACAAAGATCATTTTACGTCACATCTTATTATTTTATATTGATAACTGTGCCCCGCGGTTCCACCCGCATATATCACACGTCTGATTCGCGCGACATGACACCTCGCTTATAGAGGCGTTCATTGCTAGTTTCTCTCGGTTCTTATCGGACTGCTAGCGTTATGCGCGCCGAGCCAAGTTTTGAATTATTTTAATTAAATTATTTAAATTTTCATTATCTCTTAAACGATGCATCCCAATGACTCCTAACGATGCAGTAACTTTCGTTCGTAAGGATTAATATTCCATGCCTAATAATAACGCTCATAAATCACTTCTTAATTTTTAATAAAAAAAATCACAAAATACCTTATTGTGGCTTATGTATAAGAAATAAGAATATGGTATCGTGGATTTTTCTTTAGATGGAGTAGAGATCTATATTTTTGTACAACATTGTATTTACGTATCGCTAACGGTTACGCCAGTGCACGCGGATAAAGCATATCGGGGGTTGCTTTTTCTTCTGACTTGCTTAACAGAGATCAATATTTAAGGATATATATAGCCTAATGCCAATACTATTCCTCAAGAATCTGGCCATAATATAAAAAATAATTTTTCAAATCGGAAAGGTAGTTCCAGAGATTATACAAACAAGAAATAAACCCTTCCTCTTTATTAATACAGGTCTTTACCTATGAAATTGCCTTTAATTACATATTGCCGTTCTGCAGTACTTGCCATTTCAAATCAATATAATTTTTATTTTTGGCTAAGAATGTTTTTTAAAACATTCAATTCTTTTTTTTTAGTTTCAAAGTTAGTCATGTGTTTATTGATTAGCGTTATGTTTTCATCGCATAGGAATCTTTTTATTCAGTTAAAAATTGGAATAATGGAATGGCAAAACCAATTTGGCGAGAAAAAACATTACGCTGCACTACCCTCGGACCTCCAAGATTGTTGTCAAACTAATAGTGAAACGGTCAACCAGTTCGCATTGCGTGTAGAGACATGCCTATCAAAACTATTAACCGAAATCAATATCTCAATGCCCATGAAAAAGAAAGGTAATCTGACTGGCTGTGTCGCTGCAATGCAAGATTTAGCATTAAATACATGCATAAGTAGCTTAAATCCTCGATTGTCAGCGGTAGTCAGATGCCGTGACCCTGAAACTTTAAATGAAGCTATTGGCTTCGTTGTATCTGAAGAAACGATATTGCACACCTCTTCCAAGCGTAACCCTTAAGCAATTAATATCAGTTCACCTAATCAAGGACGTTGGCCTCAATGTTAATCCCAACAAATTCAAAACCCTATACAGCGATGCTACTCAAACAATACCAACAGTTAAAGGCCGTCTACTTCAGGTCCTCCAGTGTGCCGTTATTGTAAAAACGTGGGCCACACTATCGAGGATTATAGGAAACGGAAATTCAAGAAGAACCGCTTTAGAGATCAAAATAATCAAATAATATCTCCAAGACGCTATCAAAATAATCAAGCTCAAATCCACGCGGTAAATATTAACGAAAGCGGTGACTACACGGAAGATCAGGGTAAATCAAACGATGATTTAAACGCATAAATGGCTCACGGTGGTGTCTCGTGAGTCTCAAGCATCGAATTCCAAATCATTACTATATCAAAGGCACCAATCTAACCACCACCACAATAAAACCACCTTATCAGTAATCAATAGCTCTGAAACTCCTATAACCCTACAGTCAAATCTAAATATCATACTAATTCCCTTAAGTCCTTTAACCAAACCTTTTGATCCAGTAAACATTCACACAGTTTGTCATTTAAAAAACACAAACTCTTACCTCCGAACGAAAGAAGTATTAAGCCTCCTTAGAGTCTACCACCTCAATCCTGAAGAGGCAAACGCTCTTCACGATGTTTGCTCTGAATACTCGGATATAAATTTTATTCCTGGCGATAAACTTTCCCATACAAATGCCCTTAAGCATAACATAAAAACTAGCGATCAAAATCCCATAAATGTAAAATCTTATCGGTTCCCAGAGGTACATAAACAAGAAGTTAAAGAACAAGTTGATCAAATGCTCGACCAGGGAATCATAAAACATTCAGAGTCTCCATGGTCTTCACCAATTTGGATAGTCTCAAAAAATTTACGCATAGCAACAATGGCGTATAGTTATCGATTATCGGAAACTTAACGACATCACTGTTGATGACATCTACCCTAGACCGCAAATATCTGAAATTTTAGATCAGCTAGGACAGAGCAAATACTTCTCAACCCTTGATCTTGGGTTAGGATTTCAACAGATTCTAATCAATGAGAAAGACGCTCCTAAAACAACCTTTGCTGTACCACAAAGACACCACCAATTTACATAGATGCCATTTGGTTTAAAAAACGGGCCTGCCACTTTCCACAGCTTAATAAATACCGCTCTCACAGGCCTTCCAAGGCATACGGTATTTTATTTACCTTGACAACATCGTCAAATATTCTCATGATTTTAATTCTTACATTGATAACCTTTTGTCCAAAGACTTCGAAATTACAATTTAAAACTCCAACTAGACAAGTGCGAGTTTCTCCGACGTGAAGTCGCATATCTTGGCCATTAAATAACTAAAGATGGTGTAAAACCTAACCCTGAAAAGGTAAAAGGGGTAACTCAATGTCCTATTCCCAAATCCCCGAATGATATTAAGTCCTTCCTCG